AAAAGAGGACATGTGAATAGGTTCATCCTCTTGCAACTTGCATCGATTAACCTGTCATATTTTTTCAATTGATATACATATTTTTAAATTGAAATATCATATTATTGAAAACAACATAAATAAAAGTATGATAGTTCTCACTATAAATATGTATTTTTATTTACAATAATATAAATTTATTGACCCGTTTAACCGTTCTGCTGCCCCCACACAAGAATCTAAGAATTTGTATTTTGATAATTGATTATGCTAAAGACCCTTCGTGGCATTAATTTTTGCGGACTTATAAAAGTCATAATAATAAATGACGAATAATTTGTTATGATATCAAACTATCAGTGCTGTAAGCTGAGTGATCAAAAATCACACTGAAACCATAAAATTTATATCGACTTTAATTTGAGGTCAGATCCATTTTTCATTTAATTTATAAATCACATGCATTTTTCAATTAAATTTTCATCTCATTAATTCCATTCTTAAAATTTTATACTCCTACAAGTGTATGTATTGAATGGATCAAGTAAATAAGCACATACAACCACCCAAGCTGAGATGATCATATAAAAACGGTACAAATGAAATAAAAACCTCAACATTACAGGATTGGACAAATTCTGACAAAAATCAAGAACCAATGAATATAATTAGCGAACATCACAATTTCTGTCCAGTGAATGCATAAAAGGAAAAACGAACCAGAACAGGATCGGCACAGCAAAGTCACCTAAAGCGCGACTGACTTAGCAAATTAGTGTTGAAAACGCAATACACAAAGAATTCAAGCTGCCAACCGAGATTTTCTCAAATAGATCGCTAGTTACTTTTAGCAAAAGTACCACAAGGGGACACAACACCTTCTACTTATGAATCTGTTAAAGACGATAAAGAGAGAAAAAAAAAAATGGCATTGAACATGATGATTGGTGGATTATGTGTGTCAACACCTAATGCTGATCACAGAATGGAGCAGGCTTTTTGAGCCTTGCCTTTCTTCTTCTTTTGTTTGGGTGGCTGAAGAACAACTTTTATTGCCGCATCAAAAACTGCTTTGACATTCTGAGGTACAGAGAAAATTATATGTATCAGTGTAAACTAGTTCAGTTATTATTAGTCTTGAGCATCATCGAAAGTAAATGGGAATTGGATCTTAATCGAACCTCCTGTGTTTTCGAACTACATTCAATGTAAGATGGAGCCCCAATCAATTTCCTTAACTCCTCCCCCTTAAAGTGTGAAAGTAAGACAACATAATGACGTACAGCTCAGGAAAGAACAATAAAAGCAAACGATTGAAAAGGAAAATAGGGAAAAGAGTGATATACGAAAAGTATAATATATCACCTGTGCTGCAGTGATTGGTATGGCACCTGGATGGTCAAGGAAGAACTGCTTGTCATCCCGAAGATCTGAACACCATTGAACAAATAATGAGTAATTTTGACCCATCATCAACCACTAAAGAAAATAAAAATAAAAATTAGAACAACGAAATCCTAAAGCCAATCTCTTCGACATGTGATAAATAGTACACATGCATCTGGATCAGTTATCCTCAAGTTAATTTTAATATGCAAATATGCATATAGGCATAACAGGGAACATGCAAGAGTATCAGAAAAAGGTCTGTCATACATCCTATATATCTAATTAAAACAGTTCTCACAGGCTTCCTCCTATAAATTTGTAGAGATTGATTCATACATAAGAATGATACGAAACAAAAGCATACTGCAGAATTGACAATTTCAGAAGAACTGTTAAAAGGGCATTACAAATTTATACTGCAATAACCTTACTATTTATCTAATACATGCTGTTCTGATTTAATTAGACTAACCGACAATGAGAGTTAAACCAAACTCAGTGACTTGAATGAACAATGACCAGAAGGTTTTTAATGTATCAAATCATCTAGCATGGTGGCTATGATAGGAAGACAACAACGAGAAACTACTAATGGTGGAATCTATGTGACCAAAACTAAATATGGAAGCTTCCTCTCCAGCTCTGTATATTATACGTCAACAGAGTAAATTACAGAAGACTGAAGTTGACAAGATGTCTATTTCCACTTTTCCATTATGTATCCTTTCAAAATATGTAACTGGTAATGTTTCTTAATAACAGCAGGCACAATTTCGCAGTTGTACATATTGAGGGAAGATACCATTCATAGCACTTCGAATCAAAATTCTCACCAAGTTTTGTGCCAACCAGAACAATAGGGACACCAGGTGCATAATGCTTCAGTTCTGGAATCCACTGTAAGAAAAAATAAAATAAGTTGGAGGACAAAATTAAGTAATGCAAAAAGGTTTTCTAAAAAGTGAAAATGGAAATATATTCCGAGCAATCAAATTGTCACCTTCTTGGAGACATTTTCATAGCTAGCCTTGCTGATGAGTGAGAATGCCAAAATGAAAACATCAGCTCCTCGGTAACTCAAAGGTCTTAATCTGTTATAGTCCTCCTGTCCTGTTCCATGAAATAGAAATATTTTCAGTTCACGAATTATACCTAAAATATATAGTCATGCACACATAGGTAAAATTATCCATATGGATATAGCATTTTAAAAAGTAAAGATGTCAACAAAAACATTTCTATTGATTACCAGCAGTATCCCACAGGCCTAAGTTTACGGTCGCTCCATTTACGACCACATTCGCACTGAAGTTATCAAATACCGTGGGCACATAGTCCTGTTTCATTTAGCAAATAAAGAGAAAATGTTAAAAATCTATAGATTAAAATGAAAAAGAAAAAATAAGCGACATATAAGATGTTAATCAACTTCAAACCACATATGCAGGTGTTATACGGCAGAGTTCATCTGAAGCTTAGTCACACGTGACACAGCATAATTCACATATAAACCTTATTGCATGCTGAGAAAAACATTTTTAATTTAACTAGAAATAAGTGAAATAGTCAATAATCTAAGTAGTGGCACTTGCAGAGTTCCTTTATAAGGTGAGGGAGGTGACGAACATATCGAAAAAGAATAACCTCATAAATTATATATATATAATGAGACTCGCGTAACTGAAACATTACACGGTTGGTAAAGCGACACTCTTCTAGTCTGGAAACAATATAACCATGGTCGAACCATAAGTAGTTACAAAATTAGATCCTTGATATCGCCTAAGCTGAAAACATAAATTTTCCCCTATATAAATTTTCCCCTATAACTTGCATCCAATTTTTATGAGACATTCGTGAAACCAGGAAAAATGAAACATATCAATTCACTATCTCATCACCGGCATACATATTTGAAGACTGGGGATAAGCCCAGATCACGTGGTCACCATAAGTTATTCCGAAGAACATCTTATCATTTATCCTTCTGAAGTACCACTGGCATATACAAATTGAAATAACAAAAACAAGTCCCAATCAGATGCTAAATTGCAATATTCGTGCCCAGATATAGCCTTTCCATTTTCAGATAAATGCACGAAAAAGACTATCGTAACCACAAAATCAACAGAAACAACCCAATCCTTTTACAATTCAAATCGCAACACGGCAAAATTCTTTTAGTTAACCTATTCCCCATTTTTTCATTTAAAACAAGAAAAAATGAAACAAGAAAAGGGTGGAAAATTCAAATCTGAAATGACCATCACAAACAACAGAACGATCACAACATAATAAACATCAAGAACACGAACGTAAAATGTCAGACCGTGGGGAAGGTATTGCTGGTGTAAGAAATCAAGAGACATGTCTTTCCAACCGCGCCATCGCCCACCGTCACACACTTGATGAATCTTGAAGCACTCATTCTTCTTCTCCTTCTTCTTCTTCTTC